ATGAAATGATATATTTTGCAGCAACATGGATGGAACTGGAGACTCTTGTCTTTATCATTTGACTTAAAAAGGCAAATGCTGCATGTCCTTCCTTAAAAGAGGGGCTAAATTATGGGTGCACATGGATATAGAGTGTGTGGCCGGGGGCGGTGGCTCATCCCTGTAATCTCAGCAATTTGGCAGGCCAAGGTGGGGGGATCACTTGAGGCCAGGAAGGCGAAACCAGCCTGGCTATGGTGAAACCCTCTCTCTACTGAAAATACAAAAGTGAGCCTAGTGTGGTGGCGCACACCTGTAATCCCAGCTACTCGGGAGGCTGAGGCACAAGAATCTCTTGAACCTGGGAGGCGGAAGTTGCCGTGAGCTGAGATTGTACCCCTGCACTCCAGCATAGGTGACAGAATGAGACTCTGTCTCAAAACAAACAAACAAGCAAACAAACAAAACATGCTCATAGAATGTGAAATCACAGACATTGGAGACTCAGAGGGGTGGGAGGCAGGAAGCAGGTAAGGGCTGGTAAGGGATGACTTCATGGGTACATTGTACGTTATATGGGTGATGGGCACACTAAAAGCCCAGACTTCACCAACGTCACAATATACTCTTGTAAGAAAACTATCCTTGTGCCTCTTAATACAAAAACAAACAAACAGCAAACCTTTCTGTGTTTAAATTACTGTGGTTTCTATCTCCTGACTAGACTGATTAAAACAATCCGTTTTAAAACTTTTGGAGGACCCATTGACTCTGGGGCTGATCTTGAATGGGTTCAGGCATATAGTCTTCCTACACGATTATTGTCACTTTTCAACTGCAAAACAAATCAAATTTCTGTTATAAAGATCATTTATGGCTGGGTACAGTGCCTCACACCTGTAATCCCAGCACTTTGGGAGGCTGAGATGGGAGGATCACTTGAGGCCAGGACTTAGAGGCCAACCTGGACAACAAAGTGAGATCCCATCTCTTAAAAACAAATTAAAAGTTAGCCAGGTGTGGCAGTGCACTCCTGTAAGCCTTGCTACTCGGGAGGCTGAGGTGGGAAGATCACTTGAGCCCAGAAATTTGAGGCTGCAGAGAGCTTTGGTCATCCCACTGCACTCCAACCTGGGCAGCAGAGTGAGACCCTATCTCTAAAAATAATAAGAATAATTTCCTTAAACTACTACTATTTCTTGATATGTTGAATTTTTTATAGTTCTTTAACCTGTTTATCATAAATACCATTTCTCTTGTTTTTCTTTAAAATATCTTGTTTTATGTTTATTCACATTTTTTCCATTTTTTATTTCAATACCAGAAACACAGTATGGAAGTGTACCGCACAAATGCCTAGATACTGACCAATGCTCATCATGCATTTGCAGGCGTTGCAGAGGGGCTGCGTGAAATGAAACCTCCCTGCCCCGTGAATGGGATGCAGGTCCACTCAGGAGAAACGGAAATACTCAGGAAGGCAGTGGAGGACTATTTCTGCCTTTGTTATGGTAATGTTCACTTTAAGCATGAATTCTCTAAATCGTTCACCAAGGAAGAGGACAGTATCACAGTCTTATTGGTATGACTACTTAGAATGTTTTGAACATTTTTTTTTTTTTTTTGAGACGAAGTCTCACTCTGTTGCCCAGACTGGAGTGCAATGGTGCGATCTTGGCTCACTGCAACCTCTGCCTCCCAGGTTCCAGCAATTCTCCCACCTCAGCCTCCTGAGTAGCTGGGATTACAGGCACCCACCACCACACCTGGCTAATCTTTTTTTGTATTTTTAGTAGAGATGGAGTTTCATCATATTTGCCAGGCTGGTCTCGAACTCCTGACCTTGTGATCCACCTGCCTGGGCCTCCCAAAGTGCTGGGATTACAGGCATAAGCCACCATGGCCAGCTGTTTTGAATATTTTAAAACCCATATTCTCAGTAAGTGGGGAGCCAGTTCTTTTTTTTTTTTTCAGACAGATTCTTGCTTTGTTGCCCAGGCTGGAGTACAATGGCACGATCTCAGCTCACTGCAAACTCTGCCTCCTGGGTTCAAGCAATTCTCCCACCCCAGCCTCCTGAGTAGCTGGGATTACAGGTGCCCACCACCACACCCGGCTAATTTTTGTATTTTTAGTAGAGACAGGGTTTCACCATGTTGGCCGGGCTGGTCCCGAACAGTTGACCTCAGGTGATCCGCCCACCTCGGCCTTGCAGAGTGCTGGGATTACAGGCGTGAGCCACTTCGCCCGGCCACCAGTTCTTAATTACCAGATTAAGTGTTCTTTAGAAGATGATATGGATCTTGGATCTTCTGATCTATGGAAACTTCTGTATCAATCGCTCTTTCTTCCTTGATCCCATTTTACAGAGCCCCCCATGAAGGCCAGTGTATTGTTAAAGACAATGTTGGTTCAGTCACCTCCCTCACCCCTCAGTTGTCTTTCCACCTACCCATATCTTTCTATAGGCATGAAGATGGGAATTTAAAGAAAAAAGAAAAACTGCATACGGTGGCTTGAGCCCATAATCCAAGCTACTTAGGAGGCTAAGGCGGGAGGATCATTTGAGCCCAGGAGTTCAAGACCAGACTGAGCAACATAGTGAGACCTGTCTCTACAAAATAAAAATAATTTTCAAAAATGCCTTTGCATTGTTTTCAACAGCTAGGTAACAGATGGGGAGCAAACCCCATCTCTACTAAAAATACAAAAATTAGCTGGGAATGATGGTGCATGCCTGTAATCCCAGATAGATATCAGGCTGGGCGTGGTGGCTCACACCTATAATCCCAGCACTTTGGGAGGTCGAGGCGGGTGGGTCACCTGAGATCAGGAGTTTGAGACCAGCCTGGCCAACGTGGTGAAACTATGTCTCTACTAAAAATATAAAAATGAGCTGGGCATGGTGGGAGGCGCCTGTAATCCCAGCTACTCAGGAGGCAGAGGCAAGAGAATTGCTGCACTTTGGGAGGTTGAGGCAGGTGGATCACCCGAGGTCAGGAGTTTGAGACCACCCTAGGCAACATGGTGAAACCCCGTCTCTACTAAAATACAAAAGAAATTAGCTGGGTGTGGTAGCGGGCGCCTGCAGTCCCAGCTACTTGGGAGGCTGAGGCTGAGGTTTCAGTGAGCCGAGATCACACCACTGCACTCAGCCTGGGTGACAAAGCTAGACTCAGTCTCTACAAAACGAAACTAAACTAAACTGGGAGAACATTAGGTTCACACCCTCTGAAGATGTTTGCCTCTTCTCGTAGGTAAAGCCTTAGGGACGACGGTCATGGTGCCTGTTCCCTATGAGAAGATGCTTCAAGACCAGTCGGCTGTGGCGGTGCAGGGACTCCCAGAAGGCGTTGCCTTTCAACACCCTGAGAATTATGACCTGGCCACCCTGAAATGGATTTTGGAGAACAAAGCAGGGATTTCATTCGTCATAAACAGGTGACACTCTGCACCCCCACCCCCTCAGTTCATTTAAAGATGAAACTGATAGCCTCATTTTAATTCCCTCGTGCATTCCACCTGTTGCGTTTCAGAGTTGATTGTTGAGCTATGTCATACTTTTGTCATATGTCCGTGCTGGGTAACGGTGTTGCTTTTCTTGCAGACCCTTCCTAGGACCAGAGAGTCAGCTGGGTAAGTGACAGCTTCTCAGGTTTGGTGGCTCTTCTGAGCTGCTAAACCACTTCTTCATTAAAACTTGAACTTGAGTGAGGTGGGGAACTTAGAGGATGGGCCAGTAGGTACAGCAAACCACCGTGGCATGCATATACCTAGGTAACAAACCTGCACGTTCTGCACATAGATCCCGTTTTTTTTTTTAAAAAAAAAGAAAAAAAGAAAATTAAAAAAAAAAAAAAGTAAAATATTAGGAACAGATGCTCAGTGCCATAAAGAAAAATTAGCACTGAGACAAAGGATCTTTCAGCAATGCAATTTTTACTTCCTGCACTGCAGGGAGGGTACCCTTGCCAGCCATCATGCCATGAGAGTACAATGAACAAAGGAAAAGCGGACATATTTATCCCTTACGCGTTTGGGGTTGTGTTTACTGCTGTGTCTGATCTCTGTTGCTTGGAGATCTAAACTAAAACCTGATTGGCTAACAACTTAAAACTTTTTTAAACAGGTAAAATCAATGGAGAAATTCAAATAAGGAAGGGGCGTAGCCTGTGAGCTGGGACATGCCTGTGAGCACGTCCAGCACAGATATCTTGGTTAAAGTACAGGGACGTAGAATGTACTACGTACCTATGAGCATGTTTAACAGCTACGTAGGATAGGGCTTAACACAGAGTTTTATTAGCACACTTATAATTTATTCTTTAACAAGAAAGGAAACTTTGAAGAGGAACTTTTACTTCCCACATAAAAATACATTTGGATCTGTAAAAAAAAAAAAAAAATTGGCTGGGCACAGGGCTCACACCTGTAATCCCAGCACTTTGGGCAACAGAGGCAGGCAGATCACTTGAGGTCAGGAGTTAGAGACTAGCCTGGCCGAAATGATAAAACTCCGTCTCTACTAAAAATACAAAAGTTAGCCGGGTGTGGTGGTGAGTGCCTGTAATTCCAGCTACTGGGGAGGCTGAGGTGGGAGAATCACTTGAACTGGGATGTGGAATTCGCAGTGAGCCGAGATCGCACCACTACACTCCAGCCTGGGCAACAGAATGAGACCCTCAAAAAAAAAAAGGGATGTCTTGCTGAGACTGCGTAGGCAGAGGAAGGAGGCAGCAGGGACGGGGGGTGGCACAGTTCACAGGGCACCTGCCGGGGCCATGACATGCACTAGTTCTTCTTAGCCGGGGAATAAACACAATGTAAAGTCTGTTTTGGGAGCAATGCTGAGTTCCCGATGTCCTCTAACTCACATTAAAGGAGAAGTGAGAGGGGAGGGTGGCAGGTGGCCATGGAATATTGTCCCAACTGACTTGTATCATCATAATAGAAAAATGATAGTGGTCTCCCGCTATCCTCGGGGGATACACCCCAAGACCCCCAGTGGATGCCCGGACCATGGATTGTACAGAGCCCTGCATATACTCTGATTTTCCCTAACCACACATACCTACGAGAAAGTTTAATTTATATATCAAGCACAGGCTGGGCACAACGGCTCACTCCTGTAATCCAAACACTTTGGGAGGCTGAGGTGGGTGGATCACCTGAGGTGAGGTCAGGAGTTCGACACCAGGAGTTCGCTGACCAACGTGGTGAAACCCTGTCTCTACTAAAAATACAAAAATTCGGCGAGACAAGGTGGCTCACACCTGTAATCCCAGCACTTTAAGAGGCCGAGGCAGGCGGATCACTTGAGGTTGGGAGTTCGAGATCTGCCTGACCAACACAGAGAAACCTTATCTCTACTAAAAATACAAAATTAGCTGGGTGTGGTGGTGCACGCCTGTAATGCCAGCTACTGGGGAGGCTGAGGCAAGAGAATCGCTTGAACCCAGGAGGCAGAGGTTTCAGTGAGCCAAGAGCACACCATTGCATTCCAGCCTGGGCATCAAGAGTGAAACTCCATCTCAAAAAAAAAAAAAAAAAAAAAAAAATAGCCAGGTGTGGTGGCTCATGCCTTTAATCCCAGCTACTCGGGAGGCTGAAGTAGGAGAATTGCTTAAACCTGGTAGGTGAAGGTTGCAGTGGGCTGAGATCGCACCACTGCACTCCAGCCCAGGCAACCGAGCAAGAGCCGTCTCAAAATGAATGAATGAATAAATAAATAAAGCACAGTAGATTAACAACAAGAACTAAAGACAAAATAGCGCTATTATAATATGCCATCATTACTACTCTTGCACTTTGGGGCCATTATGAAGTCAAATAAAGGTGACTTGAGCACAAGCACCCTGGCCATCCCTGGACCATCAGTCTGATAACAGAGCCAGCTACCCAGTGACTTGTGGGCGAGTAGTGTAGACAGCGTGGATGGCAGGACAAAGGGATGAGTCACATCACAGGCGGGACAGTGGGACACTTCATCACGCTGCCCAGAACAACGTGGGACTTCAAACTTCTGAATTGTTTATTTCTGGAATTTTCTGTTTACTCTTTGTAGACCTTGACTGACCCTGGGGAAAGCAAAACCACCGATCAAGGGGGAGCTACTGTTATAGCAGCTGAAATTTAGCACTTAGCAACGTGCCAGGCACCGTTCTAGTCATATTAGGTGCATCCATGAATCCTCCCACAACCACCGTGTTCATGAGGAAACCGTGGTTTAGTGATTTGCTGGAGGCAGCCCAGCTGGTGAGCTGAGGCTCGGCCCCACACCCGTGCTCTAACCCCAAAACACTCCTCGGTAGCCCCCAGAACACGGACTGCTTTGAGTCAGTCTCTCTCCCAGTGACTTTTCCGCGATGGCTTCCGTCTGGGAGTTCCATTTTCTGTGTATTTGCTTTCAATTTCTATGCCTTTGGATGTTAGTCATTTTCCAAAGCGCTAAAAGGGGCTGATGTGTGTCTTTTTATTTCTCCACAGGTGGCCATGAGATGGTAACAGACGCTGAGAGATCCATAGTATCACCAAGTGAAAGGTAAAAGATAAACAGCCACTAAAATCCACATCCGTGCACAAAGTATTCATCTTTGGATGACAGAAAGGCCCCCTTCCAGCATTTGAGGTGTAGTGTGAAGGGTTAATGTGCTCCTTCTCTTCCTTATTTTCTATTCTATTCATTGTCCAAAAGGACCTTTAGAATTAGAAGACTATTTTCAGTAGACACGTTTAATTTTGTAACAACTTATGAAGAACATTAATGTTGAGGCCAGGTGCGGTGGCTCACACCTATAATCCCAGCACTTAGGGAGGCCAAGGTGGGTGGATCATGAGGTCAAGAGATCGAGACCATCCTGTCCAACATGGTGAAACCCCGTCTCTACTGAAAATACAAAACTTAGCCGGGCATGGTGGTACACGCCTGTAGTCCCAGCTACTTCGGAGGCTGAGGCAGAAGAATCGCTTGAACCTAGGAGGTGGAGATTGCAGTGAGCCAAGATCGTGCCACTGCACTCCAGCCTGGGTGACAGAGCAAGACTCCATCTCAAAAAAGAAAAAAAGAAAAGCACCTTAATGTTAAAGTTCAGGCTTTGTTGCATTTGGTTGAAGGGAGGGGGGGATTTGGTGCCGCGGAGATCCTGGGCATTTGAGCTCAGCGTGTCCAGGCGCCTGTGTTTGGTCCTCACCGTGCCCATCCTGACCAGGGTTCCCTTCTCCTTGCAGCTGTGGCCCCATCAGTGTGAAAACTGAACCTATGGAAGATTCTGGTGGGTACCATGATGCTTTTAGAATCAAGTATCGGCCAAGCGAGGTAGCTCATGCCTGTAACCCCAGCACTTTGGGAGGTCGAGCGAGGCAGACCACTTGAGGTCAGGAGTTTGAGATCAGCCTGGTCAACATGGCGAAACCCCGTCTCTACTAAAATACAAAAATTAGCTGGGCATGGTGGTGCGTGCCTGTAATCCCAGCTACTCAGGAGGCTGAGACAGGAGAATTGCTTGAACCTGGGAGGCCGAGGCTGCAGTGAGCTGAGGTGGTGCCCACCACATTCCAGCCTGGTGAGAGAGTGAGACTCTGTCTCAAAAAAAACAAACAAGGCCAGGCACGGTGGATCACGCCTGTAATCCCAGCATTTTGGAAGACTGCGGTGGGTGGATCGCTTGAGCTCACGAGTTCAAGACCAGCCTGGCCAACATGGTGAAACCCCGTCTCTACTGAAATACGAAAACTTAACCAGGCATAGTGGTGTGTGCCTGTAGGAGGCTGAGGCATAAGAATTGCTTGAGCCCAGGAGGTGGAGGGTGCAGTGAGCTGAGATCACGGCACTGTACTCAGCTTGGGCTATAGCATGAGACTCTGTCTCAAAAACAAAACAAAACAAAAAGAACCAAGAATCTAGTAGGTTATCATTTGACACCTTTTTTGTTTGCTTGTTTTACCAAATAAATAAATCAAGACCAGGGTACTAATTAACCTCAATGGAACCTCATTTGCAGAAGAGCCATATTTGACTCAAATATCTAGAAAACAGAGCCTTGGTGGGGCACGGGGGCTCAGGCCTATAATCCCAACAGTTTGGGAGGCTGAGGCAGATGAATTGCCTGAGCCAGGAGTTTGAGACCATCCTGGGCAACATGGCAAGACTTCATCTCTGCAAAAATATCAAAAACAGTGGTGCCCGCCTGTAATCCCAGATACTCAGGAGGCTGAGGTGGGAGTATTGCTTAAGCCTAGGAGGCTGGGTCTGCAGTGAGCCAAAATGGTGCCACTGCACTCCAGCCTGGGTGACAGAGAAAGAGTTTGTCTCAGAAAAGAAAAGAGAGAGAGAGCCTTCTAATTCAGTAAATACTGGGAACTAAGTTGTTATTAAATAGACGTATTTGTGGACAATTTTTTTTTTGAGACAGAGTCTCGCTTTGTCGCCTGGGCTGGAGTGCAGTGGGGTGATCTTGGCTCACTGAAACCTCTGCCTCCTGGGTTCAAGCGATTCTCCTGCCTCAGCCTCCCAAGTACCTGGGACTATAGGTGCCTGCCACCACACCCAGCAAATTTTTGTATTTTTAGTGGAGACGGGGTTTTACCATGATGGCCAGGCTGGTCTCCAACGCTTGACCTCAGGTGATCCACCCACCTCGGCCTCTGAAAGTGCTGGGATTACTGGCGTGAGCCACCTCGCTTGGCCCAAAATATCATTTTAATTATATTTGAATTAGAACCTGAATTTGAAATGAAAAAAAAAGTTTTGAATGTGATTTTGGAATTACTACTTCACTCACAAATAGAGCAGTGTTTTCAGTTTTGGACGTACTTTACTGCGTTTTTGGACTCTTCTGTCATTTCTAAATGTTTTACAATATAAGTACATTACTATGACAATGTATACTTGGAAAAAAAATCCCTCTTCCATGGATGAGAGTAGTTGACCCCCATTCCTGCTTCTCCCCACTCCTCAATAAAAGAAAACCAGCACGGCCAGGCGCGGTGGCTCACGCCGGTAATCCAGCACTTTGGGAGGCTGAGGTGAGCGGATCACTTGAGGTCAGAATTTCAAAACCAGCCTAGCCAACATGGGGAAAACCCATCTCTAGTAAGAATACAAAAAACTTAGCTGGGTGGAGTGTTGCACGTCTGTAATCCCAGCACCTTGGGAGGCTGAGGCAGGAGAATCAGTTGAACCGGGAGGCGGAAGTTGCAGTAAGCCAAGATCGAGCCACGCTACTCTGGTGTGCACAACAGAGAGGGACTTCATCTCAAAAAGAAAAAAAAAAAAAAGGAAAAAAACGGCATTATTTAGAGGAAAAATGTTAACAGGTTCAGATTTAAAAAAAAAAAAAATTAGGCCAGGCGCAGACTCACACTGGTAATCCCAGCACTTTGGGAGGCCGAGGCAGGCAGATCACTTGATGTCAGGAGTTCAAGACCAGCCTGGCCAACATGATGAAACCCCATCTCCACTAAAAATACAAAAAATTAGCTGGGGATGGTGGCGGGTGCCTGTAATCCCAGGTACTCAGGAGGCTGAGGCACAAGAATCACTTGAACCCAGGAGGCGGAGTTTGCAGTGAGCCGAGATCATGCCACTGCACTCCAGCCTGGGCAACAGAGCGAGACTCCTTTTCAAACAACAATCATGACAACCACAAAAAAAAACATTTAAACCCAAATGTTTAATCAAAGGATGGGAAAATACTGAAAGCATTAAAGTGGAAGGGTTCACGCCTGTAATCCCAGCTCTTTGGGAAGCTGAAGCAGGAGGATCACTTGAGCTCAGGAATTTGAGACCAGCCCAGGCAACAGAGCAAGACCCTGTCTCTACAAAAAATATTTAAAAATAAAAAATCAGCCAGATATGGTGGTGTGCACTTATACTCCCAGCTACTTGGGAGGCTGAGGTTGGAGGATCACCTGAGCCCAGGAGATAAAGGCTGGTGTGAGCCATGATTGCACCACTGCACTCCAGCCTGGGTGACAGAGCAAGGCCCTGGCTCCAAAAAATAGTCATAATCCAAAAGAAAAACAATATTCTGTGTTAAGAAACAAAGATCTGGCTGGGTGCAGGGGCTGACACCTGTAATCCCAGCACTTTGGGAGGTGGAGGCGGGCAGATCACCTGAGATCAGGAGTTCAAGACCAGTCTAGCCAACATGATGAAACACTGTCTGTACTAAAAATACAAAAATTAGCCAGGCATGGTGGCGCATGCCTGTAATCCTAGCTACTTGGGAGGCTGTGGCAGAAGAATTGCTTGAACCAGGGAGGCGGATGTTGTAGTGAGCCAAGACTATGCGATTCACTCCAGCCTGGGCGACAGAGTGAAACTCCTTCTCAGAGAAAAAAAAAAGTTGTAGAGAAAGGAAAAATAGAGCCTTTAGCATGAGTAAAATGAAGTAAGGACAGCAGTGTCTCTAAGACAGCGAAGGTGTGGTTTATGCTTCGCAGCTCCTGGGAATCCTTGGGAGGGTCCAGGGACAGCGATGGGCCTCTTCAGCCCAGCTCCTCCTCTGTCACACCCAAGGGTCTTTTCACCACAACTGTGGGTGCACATGTCCCTTCCATTCCCATGCAAACAGGTGCTTACCAGAAGCTCCAGCTTCAGATAAGAGTCTGAACAAAAGATGGTGCTTCTCCCCTGCAGTGGTTCTAGGTCAAACTAAGACAAGTTGATGGACAGAAACAGTTGCAGTATTTCAGCTCAGCACAATTCAGCTGTGAGTACAGGTCAAATGTGGAATCTTAATTTCATCTCTGACATAACAGGCCTCAAACTCTTGCCCACTTAATTTTAGTTTTGGATGTTTTCAGAGCTCAGATATGTTCTGCCTATGTCTTACCTGGTCACAGAGAATTTAAAAAAAAAACGAAGCCACAGGCTCCTCGTACCAACTGGGTAGATGAGGGCGGGGATGGTAGCTCACGCCTGTAATCCCAGCAATTTGGGAGGCCAAGGTGGGTAGATCACCTGAGGTCAGGAGTTCGAGACCAGCCTGGCCAACATGGTGCAACCTTGTCTCTACTAAAAACACAAAAATTTGCTGGGTGTGTTGGCGTTCACCTGTAATCCTAGCTACTTGGAAGGCTGAGGTGGTATGGGCTTGTGGTCTCAGCCACTTGGGAGGCTGAGGCAGGAGGATCGCTTGAACC